GCACATACGCCACTTCCCCGAGTTCTTCTTTACCAAGACCACGTTTGCCAGCCATGTGGTGTATCTGGCTTCACGGATGAAGCCAGCGTTGAGTAGTTTCTGTGTTTCAGCGATGATGGCTTCCCGTCTTTCGCCACCGACCTTCCTCTTCCTCTGGGCGACTGGTTTTGCCTCCCTGTGTATCGCTAGCCTGTGACAGATGAAATTGGCGTCTATGCCTGACATATCAGCGCTGGACCAGGCGAAGAGGTCAGCGTTTTTGAGGATTTCTGTTTCGAGCTATTGTCGCAACTCTGGGGTCAACTATTTACTGATCTTCGTGGTCTGTCTAGGGAGTTCCCCGATCTAGAGGTCATCGAGCTCGTCAACGGGGCTGGGCCGCTCGTCACGAGTGTCGGATCTTGGGTCGAGGTCGGTGACTTTTCCGTGGTCGGTGCGAGCAACGATGGCGAGGTTGCTCTTGCATTGTTCACCAAGTGGGGCAACTTTCAAGCTTTCGGTATAGCATTGCTGTGCCACCTTCTGGTTTGCTTTGACGGAGATGATCTTCTCGACGTGTCCTGGGAACTTCATGGTGAGGTGTGGGGTGGATACCACCGCTCCGAGCTGATTCAAGGTTGGCCTGCCGATGATGATGTTATAGGAGGTGTCGGCTTCCACGAGGAGGTACCGAACCATGATCCGCCTTGAGTCCGGGGGTGCCCCGAAAGTTGTTAGTAGGTCCACATACCCCCGGGTGTGGACGCTCCTTCCTGCAAAACCGACTAGGGGTTCTGTGTGAGGTTGTATGAGAGAGTGGGGGACGTCTAACCTGAGGAACGTTGGCCAAAATAGGATGTCGGCCGAGCTCCCTTGGTCGACCAGGGTCTTGTGGACCTCCCAATTAGCTAACGCTACGGCTATAACCATGGGGTCGTCCTGGTTGGGGTAGACTCCGGCATAGTCATCGTCGGTGAAAGTGATCATCGGCGAGCTCTGGTGCGAAGCGGGGGTAGTGAAGTGTACGTGGTTGGCGTTGCGCAGGTGCCTTTTCCGGGCCGAGCTGCTGGCGCCTCCTCCTGCGAAACCTCCTGCGATCGTGCAGACCACTTCCTGTAGGGGAGTTGATCCTGCTTCCTGGTTTACCTGGCCTCATCATTGCTCCGCTGGGGTTGAGTTGAAAGCCGGAGGGGTGATCAGAGTGTCGTTGCTAGAGTTGGGCGCGAATGCGCTCGTTTTCCTCGCGTAATGCCGCGAGGTTCGTTGCGTTGGTTGTCCGCACTGCCGCCAAGTCGGCTTCGTGCTTGGCATGCATGTTGCGCAGGTCAGTGTCATGCTGCTGTCGCATCTGTTCGACTTGGTCGATCAGTCTTCTCAAGGTTGCAGCGTCGCTATCCATGGTGATAGAGTGTTCAGCGTCGTCTGTCGCACGTCTGTTGTGGCTTCTGGTGAATACCATATGGGTGGCCGATAAGGGCTGTCTCGATCGGCCCCACGGTGGGCGCCAAATGTTCTTACCGGAAATCTGCTGTAGAGCTAATCCGCCAGGTAAGATCGGTGAGCCTCCTTCACGGGTACGCTGGTGCTCCAAGATGGGGGTGGTACCTGCAAAAGAGACTCCGATGCTAAAGTTAGGGTTTGTATGAGTAATAGTCTCGTATATGTAATGCACGTACCTTGGTGTGATTTAGGGTTGCTTTGGGCCTTGGGTTTGAGACGAAGTGTAATATGATTAGATAACGGATCTCGTCTGGGGCGAGATCCTCGAGGATCAGTTATGATTCATATAAATACCGAGTTGACGTCACGTAGTGCGCGTCCGAGATCGGTTTGCGTTGTGATGCCGAACTCGAAGCTCGGTTACGCAGTACGGATAGTACAATAGTATAAGTCAACATTATATTTCAACATTCTCTCACTAACTATCTCTTAGAAATAACATAATAAAAATGAATATAAAAATATATTCATTTTATAAATAATATCTGCTTACCTATTTTGTTATTATATTATTTTTAACAAAAACACAAATTTTTGTAGTGTTGATTATAATGATGAAGAGGAGTTTAATACGTGTAAAAGAAAAACTATGATATGATCCATAAACGTACCAGATAACATTATGATTATGACACTTTATCCCCATGATTGACATGATTGGAGGATAGAAAACCTTAATTTTATAATTTATTTAAAATTTAAATATATTTTTAGTCCTTTAAATTTAGAATAAATTTATTTTTAGTTTTTTAAATTTAAAATTATTATTTTTATCTTTATAACTTAAAATAAATTATTTAAATTTTTATATTTAGATTTTATTAAAAAAAACTATTTATTAATATTTTTATTAATAAAAATATTACATTAAATTTAATTAATATTTCATAATCATTTTAATTTATTATTTTTTATTAGATATATTATTGATAATTTAATAAATTAAAATAAAAATTATAAAAATTATAAAAATTAAAAATAATAATTTTAAATTTAAAAATAATCGAATCTTACCTTATGTATTAAATTTTGTGGTCAGCTATCCCATCTTTTGAGGTGCCTCCAACGTAGTGAGGAGATTAGTCACTGTCGGCGGTGGATACTCCAAGGACGAACCGGAAAACTTTCGTTTAATAATATTTTTCCTCACCTCACATTTATAAGCCAGGAAAGACTAAGACTTCATCAATCGTTCCTAATATCGCATCCCAGCGATGGCCGAAACGCAAGACTACCTCCAACTTTTCCTCCTCTGCCTACTCTCCACCATCGCGGTGGGAACCATCATATCGAAAACGCTGCGAAAACGACGTCGTCCACCGGGGCCACAGTCCCTCCCAATCATAGGTCACCTGCACCTGATCTCCGCCCTGCCACACCAGTCCTTCCACGCGCTCGCCACGCGCTACGGCCCCCTCATGCAGCTCTTTCTGGGGTCGGTCCCGTGCGTCGTCGTTTCGTCCCCGGAAGTGGCGAAAGAGTTCCTGAAGACGCACGAGGCCCGGTTCTCGAACCGGTTCGTGAGCGCCGCGGTGCACCAGTTGTCGTACGGCTCCAAGGGGTTCCTCTTCGCGCCCTACGGAACCTTCTGGAGGTTCGCCAAGAGAATTTGCATGTCGCAGCTTCTCGGTGCTCGAACCCTCGGCCAGTTGCGCCACGTTAGGGAACAAGAGACTCTCAGGTTTAAAAGTATTTCATACTGTTTTTTTTTTTTTTTTTATCACTTTATTTTAAATTAATTTCATTTAAAAATAAGTAAAGTATAATTAAAGATTATTTTGTTAAAATTTGAATTGAGATTCTATTCGGATGATTAGACTTTGAATTCAACATTATTAATCTGTATATAAACTTAAAAAAATATTTCTATAAATTTTATGATTTCTTTTAATAATTAGGTTATAGTGGTACAACATATGAATTTTGTAGATTATTAATTTTTATAAAAAAAAAATACTAAATTTTAGTGGGGTCTTTTCTCTTTCTCTTTTTTATAATTTAAAATGTAACTTTTATTCAATGAAAAGTTTCTCACTTTTCCGATCAGTGCTGATTCCGGCTTAACATGACCACATGTTTTTATCTGTTATAAATTAAGTGTTTTTTTATTTTTAGGAGAGTTAAAATTTATCTTTTACTTTTTTTCAATATTTGAAATATTTGTTAGTTTATGTTTTGATTCATATATTATTTCAATTTTAATTTTTCAAACTTTTGAAATTCAATTTTTTAGTTGTTAACATTCCTTTTATGATAAAAAAAAAAAAAAATTTTGTGAATTTTCTTGCAATAATAATTTTATAATATTTTTTTGCAAATTTATTTGCAAAAATTTCTTACAATTTTTTTATGAAAAATAATCTACAATTATTTTTTGTGCAATTTTTACTACAATTTTAATGATCACAAAAAAATTCATGGTAAAAATTTACAGAAAATATTGTAAGAATTTTATCTTTTTTCTTGCGGATTTTCTTATAAAAATAAATTCGCAAGAAATGTTTATTAAATGGTATAAAAATTTTGCAGGTACCTTTTCTTATATATATATTTATAAGTTTAAGAATTAAAAGATTTTTCCCAAGTCCTACATTGATTATAAATAAAACATTCAAAGTATATAAGTTAGGGCGACCATCACCTTACAAGTTGATTTTGTATGGTTGAATGTTAGACCTATAATTTACAATCTAAGAGTTTAAAAGGTTATCTATCACATGTTACAGGCGTGGAAGCAAATTTTTTAATATGTCGGATGATTTCATTATAAGCACTTGAAAGTTGAAAAATTATTAATAGAAATTGTACAAAAATTACCTCCAACTAGTAATTTCTTTGATTTTTTTTCGTAAGAAATTTTTTTTTAGAATTTCTTAAAAGAATTCGTAGGAAATTTCAGAGAAACTTTCCTATAAATTTTTTTCACAAGAAATTTTTTTGCGAATTTTAAGATTCGTGAAAACATTATCCACGAAGGTATTACCTAGAGATAAAATTTCACAGCAAAATTAGTAAGAACAATGTTTTCTACGAATTTTTATGCAAAATTCGCATAAAAAAAATGTATATAATAAGAGAAATTCTAGTAATATAGTTTGATATGATTATATTATAAGCACTTAAGAAGTGTTGCTATAAAGTAACATAGATGAAAAATAATAAATTTATTTTTTTTAGAATAAAATCTATTATTTTACGATGACCAAAATTAAGATTCATCCATTTCATAAACGAAACACATGCTTATATCTAAAAAAATATAAAGAGTTAGGCTTCAGAACTTGGAATTTATAATGAAACAATTTACAATACTCCTCACACTCAAAGAAACTCGTTTTGATTTCATTGTTCGGCTTTCGTGACTCTAAGAAAAATCCCGTGCTTGAAACTTGAATAAAAAAATACAACTCAACGAACAACACTAAAAATCTCAAAACATTAATGATAAATCAAGTTTCACCAAATTTGACTAACAACAGAGTAGCAAATGCTGCATTTTCTATGAAGGTTTTTGCGCGTGATGAAAGCAAAAGGGGAGGCAAGAGAGGCCGTTGACGTTGGAGGGGAACTATTGACTTTGACCAACAACGTTATAACGAGGATGGTTTTGGGTCGAACGTGTTGCGAGAGCGATGCTGACGTGGAGGGTGTGAGGAAGATGGTGGAGGACACTGCTGAGCTGGCAGGGTTGTTTAACGTGGCGGATTTTGTTTGGTTTTGCAAGGGTTTGGATTTGCATGGGATGAATAAGAGGGTTGGGGAAATTATGAATAGGTTTGATGGCATTATGGAGAGGGTGATAAGGGAGCACGAGGAGGAAAGGAAGAGAAAGAAGGAAGAAGGAGTAGAAGGTGAGAAGATCGGGGATTTGCTTGATATTTTGTTAGACATTCATGAAGATGAGAGCAACGAGATGAAATTCACTAGAGACAATGTCAAGGCTTTCATCATGGTATGTAAGCAAGTATTTTAACTTTTATTTTAGAGTTAATCATCTATATATTATCGGTGTAAATTAATTATTTTTTTTTACTAACAATCAATCATATCTTTTAAATTATTTTATTTTTATTTGATTAAATAAGTAAATGACATAATATTATTAAAAAATATGATTAATTTAAGGTGTAAAAAATTTTACACTAATAATATATAGGTGATTAATTTTTTATTTTATTACTTTATTTAATTCGAGTGAGTGATGACACATACATCTATAATCTATTATCTCTCTTCTTATTCTATCATTTCACTAATTATACTTGCATCTTTTTTTCTGTGCTAATTAGATATATTTTCATTTTGCTCAACTTCAACTATATATGGGTTCTCTAGCCATAAACAACTCTTATTTCGTATTTTCTTTGGACATTATTTTGAAGTGAGTCTTAATCTGCATGCTATTTTCATTTTATGCATTACAGGTGGACATTATTATCTAGATCTGCTATATATCTTTCTTTAACGTGCACGAAACGTTTTGTTTAGTTGCATCATTGATTCCCTGCCCATAATTAACTTTCACCACAATGGACCTATGTATATAAAATATATATGTATTTTATATTTTTATGTGTGTGTCTCTTCCCTCTCTATATATGTACGTACAAATTATTTTATGCCAGCAGCCATGCCCAAGACCGGATGCAAAGGAGAACCAGCCAATTAACTTATTTTTCTTAAAACTAAGCTAACTTGCTTAGATTAATATAAGAACAAAATTTAGGTGTGGTTGGTTCTATTTTTAGTCAAAGTTTACCTCTTTACGGCATGCATAACTATTTATGAAAATGCAAGTACATAGTATCAAAATAAACTTTAACTTTATTGAAAATTAATATCAATAACACCAAATAAACTATATTTGAATTTTATTTTTTTTTATCAAAATTTAAAATATAATTTACTACATATACATGCAAGAAATATTAGGATCAATCCAAAGGTAAGAAAATAAATAATATGCATAATCTCATCATTATTATAATTCTTATGAATAAAAAAATTGGATGTAGGACATATTTATGGCGGGAACCGACACATCAGCAATAACCATGGAGTGGGCAATATCCGAGTTAATCAACAACCCGCAGGTGATGGAGAAAGCAAGACAAGAGATCGATTCAGCAACAGAAAACAACAGTCGATTAATACAAGAATCAGATCTTGGCAACCTTCCATACCTGCGAGCCATAGTGAAAGAGACCCTAAGGATCCACCCCACATCACCATTCATAGGAAGAGAATCATCCGAAAACTCCAACGTTTGCGGGTACGACATTCCAGCAAAGACCGTGTTGTTCGTTAACCTGTGGTCCATGGGAAGGGACCCTAAGCAGTGGGAGAGTCCACTTGAGTTCAGGCCAGAGAGGTTTATGATGGATGATGATGATGATGATGAGTTTGATGTGAGGGGACATAATATGCAACTAATGCCGTTTGGGACAGGGAGAAGAGTGTGCCCTGGTGCTTCACTTGCACTTCAGGTTGTGCCCACAAACCTTGCTGCTATGATTCAATGCTTTGAATGGAAGGTCAATGGGAGGGTTAGCATGGAAGAGAAACCAGGCATGACTATTCCTAAGGCTCATCCTTTGCTTTGTGTCCCCGTGCCTCGCTTCTCGCTCCCCTTCTAGGGTTTAAGGATTCATAATTACGGGCTTAAATATAATTTTTTTTTTGTATGTAGTATTTTAATTTGTTAAGTAGTCTTTATACGATATCTGCTTTATTATTATATTTTTTTTATTTTGATGTTTGTTATTTTATTTTAGTTCTTTTTAATATGTTATTATGAAGTTGGCTGTTAGTTTCTACCGTTTCTTTTTAAAGAGATTAACTCAAATTGAATAGAATATTACAGTTATTAAAATAATAATATTATTATTATTAATATATGACTAAAATATGATAAAAGGTAAAGTAAAAATAAAATTACAAGGACTATTTTAAAAATATTTAATAATTATACACGGTAAAAAAAATAGTATATTATAAAGATAAGAAAGATATTAAAAACATAATTATATCTAGACGCTCTCTTTCAATTTTCTCCTTCTCTTTTTGAATGACGTCTTGTTTTTTTCATAGTTTAAGTGATTTTCTCCTTAGTTAAGTAAGAAAAGCTTTTTGGAGAGCTATCATTTTCACTAGGGTCAGAATTTTGAGACATTTTTAAACAAAAAGTATTTTCACACAAAATAGTTTTTAGGAAAATAATATTTTTTTGAAGTGCTAGACTTGACACTTAGAGATCTAAGAGTACAAATTGAACTATGGAAGGAGGTGAGCTACAAAGAGCCACTTAATAACCAAGTCTCTTCAAGTAAAAATCTCTAAACCCCCTTGTACTTTGTCTTGCACAAAAGTTTTCACAAAGTATTTTTCAAAAGAAAATAACAAGCAAGTGCCTAATGTGTACAATTATTCAAGACTTGAAAACATAAATTGCTTGAAAACATAAATTGCATGAAAACATAAATTGCTTGAAAATTTAAATTGTTGAAAACATAAATTGCATTAAAACTTAAAGACAAGAAAACATAAACTAGGCATTTAAGACTAGTAAACCTATGTGAGAGTTTGGAAAGTACCAAGGACTTCCAAGGACCACTCTCACAAGTACTATACGTATTATCCTAACTTGAAAACACTAAGGAGAGATAAAAATGCACCAAAGGCACTCCAGACACTCCTAAAAAGGCCTTGTACAAGAAATGAAAGAAATTGAAAAATTACAAGAAATGAAATGCAAATTTACACCAAATGAAATACAAATTTATACCAAATGAAATGTAAATTTACACCAAATGAAATGAAAATTCACACTAAATGAATGTAGTGGCTGCACCAAATTTAAGAAAGCAAAATTCAGCCACTTAATTAGTGACAAATTTAGAGACGGATTTAGCTAGGAAAAATTTTGAGACAACAATTTTCGTCTCTAAACTAGTCTCTCATTTTCACAAAATTTCAAAAAATTCGATTGCTCCTTCAAGTTCCTTGCAGCTGCAGCAGCTCTCCAAGTGTTTCACTCCTCTCTTAGGAATAACCTTGATGTTGGTTATTCCTAGGTGATGGAAATGGTAAGGAGGAGTGATGAATGTTTTTCTCCTTAGCTCTCCTTATGCATGGATCTTCTTCAAGGAAATAGAAACCAACGTGATGAACACTAGATGGAGGAGATTCTCGGATAGGAAGAAGGCTTAAGCCTTGGATGGAAGCATCCAAGCTTAAGGTGCAAGGGAAAGCTCACTTCAAAGAGGAGGAAATCCTAGAAGGGTTCCTAAGGTGAAGCTTTCTCTCATGGTGACTCTTGAACGAAATTTGGCTGAATAAGCTCTCAAATTTCATTATTCTCAAAAGTGAATACAAAGAGTGGAAGAATCACTTAAGTAGGGTTCCAAGTGTGCAACTTTGGGCGCCTAAATCCAAGGCTACATGTGGCGCCCAAAATTTGAATTCAAACTTGAAATTTGAATTCAAATTTTGGCTCCCATGTGCTAGTCCGAAAATTTAGGTGCCTAGATGCATTTAGGTTTGATTTGAGAGTTATTTAGGGTTAATTTGAGTGGCACATGTTCAGCCACCCATGGTGCTAAACATGTGACTCAAATGTAACTTAAATGACTTCCAAATTAAACCTAGTTTAACCTATTTTACCTATTTAAGTAATTCTTGTATATTCCTAATCTAATGACCTAAATACAATGGTCAAACAAATACAATGGAAAGGAAAAATTACAAGAATGAAAATGAGCCCAATATTGGGTACCAAAAGCCCAAAGGCCCATGAAGCCCAAAACTAGGCCCAACAAGCCTAAAACCTAAAATGCTACTCTATGTGGTCCAAAATACAAGACCAAAATATATGATACCTATACTAACATGATGTATACAAAACATATGAAAATAGCTATAACAAAATATGGCCCATGAAAAGTTCAACTTGGGCCTTCCCAGGCCCATCAGGCCCATTGGGCCCTGACTGGCCCAAACCTTCATGTCTAGCCAACTCCTCTTGGCTCCTTCAATATGTCACCTCTTGCCTTCCTAGGCAGGATTCCATCACTAGGTGCTTGGACTTCCAAAGCCTTCCTCCAATGGAGAAGCAAGCTTCATAGGCCACCACAAAACCTTCCAATGTTGGCTTCCTTTGTACTTGGCCTTCCACACCTTCAAGAAGCACTCAACACACCTTAAGTTGCTGGAATATTAATTCTAAAACTGAAAAGGAACAATTAGGAGATGCTACACCAAATGGTGGAAGTAGATGAGACAAGACTAGAAAGAATTCCAATAAAAGACAAGCAAAAATTAAGGCACCAAAGAAAGGGTAGCACACAAAGGAAAACCTATCAATGGCACTAGAGTAGATTACAAAAATAAAATCTAAGATTACAAAACAAAACAAGACACAATCTCAAACAATGTATGGCTGGACAGATTTTAAAGATAAGCAACAATAAGCCAAAACCGAGAGCAACTTTCAAGAAAATTTCTCTACTCCTTTTTTCTTGTGTTCTTTCTTTTTGTTTTCTTTTGTAATTCTTTTGGTAACTCTTTTCACTTTCTTTTTCTTTTGACACAGGAGTTTAATGCCTTTTCAAAATATTTATAAGTCTTGGGTTTGGTAATGACAAGTTTGCTAAACAAATTTCAAAAACAAGAGGTAAATAGGTGTGTGTGTGTGTGTGTGTTACAAGTGCTCACAATTAATCACCAATTTGTTAAGCAATTTTAGGTAAACTTTTCATTTGAGTTCCTTGCACTTTTATACACCTAATACCTCTATTTTTTTTTCTCTATTTTAATGCAAAAAAAATAGAACAAGTTTCAACCACACAAGAGATTTAAGGAAGAAACCTAATAGGAAAGTGTTTAGTAATTTTTTTGACAAACTTTTTAACAAGACATAAAGGAAACCTAACTCTAGGAAATTTGCTAGAACTAATAGCAAATTAAGAACTCAATCATGTAAAGCAAAAGCACATTTAGGTCAGCCAAAGATTATGAAACAAAAACTGCACCCAAATAATGACTCAAAACAACACAAAAAATTTAAGGTTCAACAAGCTAGTCTAGGATTCAATGACATATAAAGGACTATACATGACTCTAGACAAAACATATGATTCAAAAACAAAAGCACATACTAAACATTATCAATGTCAAATCATGGACTCATATTATAAGGAATAGAGAAGACTTAAGCAAAAATAAAAAGCACAAGCACATGAACCTAAAGGTACCAAAACCGGATTGATTCAAGAATAAAGGAAACAAGCAAAACAATGAATCAATCAATCTTATGTGACATGTGGATCCATCAAAATATGAGCAAGAACTAGATCCATTCAACAAACACAAGAAGTAACATAAAACAAGGAAGAAACAACACGGATTCAATACAAGGTAAAGAGACACATAACCTCGAGAGCACTAAAGCTCTAAATACCAAAAATGTTGGAAGTGAGTAGAAGTGGTTGATGTTCTTCTTCACTCTCCACCTTCAATTCCTTTATTCTCTTGAGGTTGACACGCCAATGAAGAGAGAAACTCCTTGAAGAATCTTCAATGGCGGAGAAGCAACAAGGAGGTTCAGTAGCTTCTTCAAGAAGCCAGAAGATTGAGGCACCAAGGCACAAAGGTTGGAAACCTTTGTGAAGGAACCTAGGGGAAAAAGTTCTCCACGAAAGTCTAAGGCTTTAGAAGAGAGAATTTGAGAGAAATTCTGATTATTATTCATCCAAAGTGTGGGAAAAGGATAGAGTTACAAATATATAGAAGGAGGTAGCTTAGGGAGCAAGCTAACTTTAACCATGGTTCAAGTGAACCATGGTTGAGTTGCTTGACCATCCAAGCTAGTTAAGAAGCTTGTGGAGCAAGCTTCTCACTTAGATTTCTTGGGAAGCAATCTAAGGAGAAGCTTGTAGCACAAGCTTCTCAAGGCTTCCAAGTGTGAGAAGCAATTTGGCCAAAGGTAGAAGCTAAGGCAAGCTAGGCGGCCTTGGTTCCATTTTGCTCCTTGAATAAATTCTAAAAATGTTTGGTTTGGTCTAGTTAGGTCCATCCAAAGATGATGAGACCTAGCTAGATCAAACCTATGAAAAATTAGGAGCAAAATGATTCTAGTATGTAAAATTTTGCCTAGGCCCAATTCTGGCCCAATTACTAGTCACATCGTCAAGCATTGCTAAATGCCACCCCACTTCTACTACTTAAAAAATAGAAAATGAGTGTACTTCGAAATTAGGTTAAATGGAGTCAAAGTCTCCAAGTAACCCTAGAAACAATATACAATGGTCTATAAAATGAAATAAAGTGTCTCACAAATACAAAGGCAAAAATAAGCCTATACAAGGAAACTATGTACAAGTTTATATATAACATATGAAAAGGTCTTCAACATCATCCCATTACAAGTTTATGTACAAGTTTATGATCTGTCTTCCAATAGATACAATCCTGGTTGGAGGAATCATCTCAACTTGAGGTGGGGGAACTCTCAGTAGCAGCAAAATCAAGCACATTTCCAGAACCATCTCTCAAGTTCTTCATACCAGCCTCCTCAATAGAGACCTCCTCCTACATCTGCACCTGCACCTCCACCAACTCAACCTTCTACTTCTTCTGAGCCTTCATTGGAGGAGTTGGTGAGGCAAATGACCATTCAGAACATGAAATTCCAACAAGAGACCAGAGCCTCCATCAAAGCTTGACGAATCAAATAGGGCAGATGGCCACTCAACTTAATCAGGCACAATCTCAAAATCCAGATAAGTTGCCTTCACAGATTGTGCATAATCCAAAGAAG